CCCTGGGAAGGGAGATGTGCGGCTGTGGGTGCGTGGCTGTGTCCCCTGCAGCCTTCCGCTGCCTCCACAGCACCGCTGCAGAGCAACGCACATAGACACACCAAAAAACAAGCATTAACACAAAAAAAACCCCAAACACTCTCCCCAAACCCAATAGCAAAGTGTGTGGAAAAGGTCGAAGGTCTCCCGTTGCTCACTTGCACAGCCATGTCTGTATTTTTTTTTACTTATTTTTCCCAGGGGAGGCAGGAAGAATGAGGAGGCTTGTTTGCAGCTCTTCCCTATGCTGGCTTCTACGTGCTGCCTCGTAGGAACAGGAGAGGGAAGCCAGGGCAGGGCAGGGCAAGGCTGTGGCCACAACCAACAATATAAAGTAGGGGGCAAGGATTTTGTCAATGTGATGAAGCTATTTTGTTTTGCTTGGAGAAGACCTTTTGGTTTTGTTCAGGAGTGTTGGGGGGTAAGGTGTGAGGATTTTTCTGTGTTTTTTTTTTCTTTTTTTTTTTTGTTATTGTTATTTTGTTTTCTAACTCATCCTTAAGGTTTACACAGCCCTAGGAGATTCACACTCAGTCATACCAGGAACAGGAAAACTGTGCTTACTGAAAACCAGCGTAATGCAGGCAGACATAGACACTCATCCCCCCCCGACACCTATTGCTACACGAGTGTTGTGTTAATATACCCTTTTAAAATTTAGGTACAAGAGCTGGTGAAAAAGGAGCAGTCTTTTGCAAGCAAACACTCAACTGCTGTTTCTCTCCCCACTACTTGTCTCCTTTTTCCCAGGAAGGCACTGTGACTGTGGGGTGATGGGGAGTGTATGATGGGGATGCTTGGCATGAACTAAGCCAGTATGACATGTGACTGGGGGAGAGGTGGTGGTGGAGCTGGGGTTTGGGAGCTGAAGATGTCATTCAGGCACCTTCCCCAAAAGCAGGGGGCCACCTGCCCATTCTGCTGCTTTGATACCAAAGATTGCCTTTTTTCTAAAGGTAACCCCCATGAAATAAGCATGCAAAAGCTACTGCCCCCCTTCTCTCCCTGCTTGCGGAGCAGGTCATGCTGCGTTTCCTGGGGAGCTGAGGACATGTGACTTATATTTTTCTGTTTTGGCCTCATTCTTTTCCAGCACAACCAAAGCACCTGGCTGACAGACCCATAGCCCTTGTCACATGTGTTGTTATAGACCACCTCAAAAGAGATAGAGTAGAAACCTCAGCTGTAAGCAGAGATAAGGCCTAATGTGAGCTTTACTATATGTCAGATTAGCTTTCTAGTTGTGTCTTGGATTCTGTTGTGTGTTTTCTCTGCTATGTCTCCTCAGGCCCCATGTTTCCTCTCCCAGCACCTCCTATTGCTGTAACTTACTTACTGCACAGCTTTTGAACAGACTTCTGTTTGGTCAATGTTGACTCCCAGTTATATTTCACAGGACTTCCTAGTCTTGTCAGTCTTTTAGTGTCAAAGTAATAAACACAATGAATTTTCAGAATATGCAGATGTCCTCTGCTTCATTTCTGTTATCTGTCCACGGGTACTGAAGGAGCTGGCGGAAGTACTCACTTGCCAGTATTTATCAGCAGTCCTGGCTAACCAGGGAGGTTCCAGAGGGCTGGAGGTTAGTAAATGTGACACCCGTCTACAAGAATGGCCAGAAGGAGGATCTGGGGAACTACAGGCCTGTCAGTCTGACCTCGGTACTGGGGGACGTTATGGAGCAGATCATCGTGAGTGCCATCACAAGACACGAAGCGGACAGCCAGAGGTTTAGGCCCAGCCAGCATGGATTTATGAAAGGTAGGTCCTGCTTGACCAACCTGATCTCCTTCTATGACAAGGTGACTGATTTAGTGGATGAGGAAATGGCTGTGGACATCGTCTAGCTGGACTTTACTAAAGACTTTGACACTATTTCCCATGGCATTCTGGACAAACTGACCACTCATGGCTTGGTTGGGCATACCCTTTGCTGGGTGAAAAACTGGCTGGCTGGGTGGGTCCAAAGAGTGGTGGTGAATGGAGTTAAAGCCATTTGGCAGCTGGTCACAAGTGGTGTTCTGTGCTGGGGCCAGTTCTGTTTAACATCTTTATCAGTGATCTGAATGAGACGCTTAAGTGCTCCCTAAGTTTGTGGATGACACCAAATTGAGCTGTAGTGCTGAGCTGCTCAGGGTAGGAAGGCTTTGCAGAGGCATCTGGGCAGGCTGGATAAATGGGCTGAGGTCAGTTGTATGAGGTTCAGCAAGGCCAAGTGCTGTGTCCCTGCACAAGGGCAATGAAGCTGGTGAAGGGTCTAGAGCACAAGTGTTATGAGAAGAAGTTGAGTGAACTGGGGTTATTTAGCCTGGAGAAAAGGAGGCTGACCTTATAGTGCTCTACAACTACCTGAAATGAGGTTGTAAAGAGGTGAGGGTCAGTCTCTTCTCCCAGGTAACAAGCAATAGGACAAAAGAAAAAGGCCTCAAGTTGTGTAAGGGATATTAGGAAAAAATTCTTCACTGAAAGGGTTGTTAAGCATTGGAACAGGCTGCCCAGGGAAGTGGTGGAGTCACCATCCCTGGAAGTATTTAAAAGATGTGTAGATAGGGTACTCAGGAACATAGTTTGGTGGTGGACTTGACTTCACTAGGTTAATGATTGGACTCAATATTAAAGCTATTTTTCCAACTAAAAATTTTCTATGATTCTATTCTTTTACAGTTACAAAGCCAAGGAGCTCCTGGGTTTGGCTGCAGGGATGGGGAGGTTGGGCAGTTGTAGCACGTGTGACAAGGGGACTGGAACAGTGAAGAAGGCACAGAAGCAGCTGGCCAAGCAGGGAGACAACCTTGTCCTGGTGAATCCCCTGGGGTCATGGTGTATACAGGGTCAGGCATGAGCCAATGTTGGTTGAGGATCAGCACGGATCTGAGTAAGACGGGGCATGAAAAACAAACCGCTACCTGTAACAACTGTTCCTCTCCCACCCCAGGGAACAAAGGCAAACTGACTGCCTGTGCCTGTGTGGTCACATAACAAGCAATGACAAGGCACGATTGTCAGCAGAAGCACACCATGCACAGAAGCACCTTTTGAAGGTTTTTGGTTTTTTTTTTAAAATTTATTTATTAAAAAAAGACACATGAAGTTGAAATACAGAGTAACTGGAAAAAAAGTCTCACAACATAGTAATAAAACATCTTTATTCCCTCTGAAATATAATCTCTAAGACTATAAGCCTATAATTCCTGGTAAACCTCATTTAATTGAATGGTCTTTATAGGCTTTCCTCATTGGAGAATGAACATTGAATACTGGCTTCAACACGACACTGGGAAAACAGTAGTACAGGAAATAAATCACAAACTTTTGGTACCTTGGGAAATGTTGCAGAACCTGGCAGAGATAGAACTAGCAGAAGGCGTGTGCATACACAGGGCAGCAGGAGTCGGGCCAGGGGCTGCATGTCTCCTCTCCCACCGGCTCATGTCTGGAGGGCAAGGATGAGGTGATCGCAAAGAGTGTGAGACCCTGGGCCTCACACCACACAGCCACCAGAGGAGCGAAACCCAAGAAAATGGTGGAGGACATGAGATGCAGCAGGAGAAGCTCTGGAAGCAGCGCTGCTGCCACAGCCACCTGCCGGGCCCCTGCTGCATCTCCTGGCTTCAGATGCTGGCTCAGCCCATGGGTGACATAAGCCATGGTTACCCTCTGGCTTCTAGATGGATTGAACTGAAAAAACACAAGATTTTCCCTCTAAATGGGTAACTTTTCATTCAATCAGCTGATGAAGTCCTGGTGCAAACAAAGAGAGTTAGACCAGCTAATGGGGTGTTCTAGAGAAGAGATGTCCCTAAGGGCCAAGTCTTCTGGTCCAGCTGAAATGACATGAACCCCTTGAATTAACAGTGTAGGGTTTGCTCCCCATCTTGATGTTCATGATGCTGCTTCTCAGCCAGCTTGGTGCACGTTGCCTTCTCCCCAGGGGATGAGAAACAGCCAGGCCCAGCTGAAAAACATGTCCTCAGAAACAAACATGAGGGAGAAACGGTGGGGTAGACCCAGTGGAAAAAATGCTGGTCCTTTGGTACCTTTTTATTGTCACGTGGCAGGAAAAAAGTGTTAGCTATCCCCCCCTCCCCCCTTCCCCATTAACTGTTGTGAAATTCACTCAAAAATACTGATAAGACAAACCAGAATATTTTATAGAACACTGCTTTTACACTCACCAGTCCCTGGAGCAAGCCAGGAGAGGTGCTGAAATACATTCCTCGACACCTCCTGCTAGCAGTACAAACCCAAATGATCGTTCCAGACACTTCCCTGACCGGCATATGTGACTTCCTAGCACTTGTCTATATTTTTCACTTTTCATTTTACTTTCAGTTTTACCTTGCCTTCCCTGCTCCTTTAATCATGTCCTTCCCCTGCTGGCCTGCCCCTGGTTAGGGCATGTGGTGTCAGAGGGAGCGAGCACTGTGATTGAACTTCTGCGCTCAAATCTTGCCCCAAGCCTGTTGAGGGAAGGCTGAGGTGACCCTCCTCTCCCCTGATGAGCAGGCATGTCCAGGGCAGGAGCAAAGCACAGCATCATGTCAGTGTACTCTGGCAAACCCCAGCATAAACTGCAGGAAAATGAACTTCTCCCAGCCTGCTCGCTTACCTTTTGGGAACGAAGGTGCTCAGGCCATGAGCACATCACGCCTCCAGCTGTTGCCAAGCGCGTCGCGCTCTGAGGACAGCAGCGGGTATCAGCTATGCCCTACCCTCTTGCAGTGTGTGGTGTCACTGCTGCAGGAGACCAGCCCAACCACTCAGTGCTGGTGCAACGGCCAGGCCAAAGTCTCCAAAAGTGGATCTGGATTTGAAGTGCCGGGTTTTGGGGCAGCTCAAACCCACCTGCCAGACCAGGTCAGATGTGGCATCCTCCAGTGCCTTGGGTGCAGAGCACCTTGTTTGAAAACTAGGACTCTGGATAGGGACCTCCAAAACAGGGGCAAACCTGAATCCCCATTCACTTGGGGAGGCTGTGGCTGGCGTGAGGGTACCCAGCACGCTGGTCAGACAGCTGCAGGGAGGGACCAGCACTGGGACATGAGCTGAAGGAGCTGCAGTCGCAACTGGACATGGACCGCAGTGTTTGGTATGGGTGGGGTGACTCCGTAGCACGTAATACTTGCAGAAGGTGAGGGGTGGCTATTGCAGCAGGAAGCTGCTCTCAGTTCACAGGGTGCTGACAGAAATGGGGGAAAAAAGAAACCAAAAAAAACCCACAGCACATAAATATGTCCATGCACAGCCACAATCTGCGGTCTCTGGGGGCTGCCAGGAGCCCCTAGATATGGGGCTCACCGATAGATGCATTCCTCTTCTCAAACTTCATTTTGAGCTCTGACACAAGGGCGTTGTGGGTGCTGCCATGACCTTTCTTCTTCGGCTGCTTGTTTGTGTACTTGGGGGTGAGGGAGCCAGACACGGTCCACACTGGAACATCCCCCCTGGGAGCCAGGGTCGGGGGTGGCGGGGGCAAAGGGGCAGTTGGCGGCACGGGGGCAACCTGGACGTTGTTGTTGCTGTTCTCGTTGTGCAGGCTCTTGGCATCTTCCTCAACGACAAACTTCTCCGCAGCATTACTGGGCCTCTTGAACTTCAGCCACTCCATCCTGACTGCCCGGGGCTGCGGGATCTGTCTCTTTTTTATGATCCTTCTTACCGGCGTGATTTTGTTGGACCGCTTGTTGCGCCAGAACATGGCAGTAGAGATCATGATAGTTATCAGCACCATTATGCCCATGACACCAGCTAGCACTCCTAAGGCTTTCATGGGGTTATCTTTAGTTTGCATCAAAAAGGCGGCCATAGGCCCTTTGTGAAGAGTCTGTAAAAGAGTACAAAGAAAGCACATGACTTTTACTCTATGGGACAGACAGTGACCCGGAAATTTCATTTGTCCAAAATATGTAACACGCAGGGCTGACTAATAGAAGTCATCTCTAAGAAAAAATGAGAGTCAAAGAGCCAGTCCAGGTTTGGAGAATTTAGATGGAGCAGGAGTCTGGCCAAGTGTTACAGTACTGTGAGATGGATGACTGTCAAATATGAACGCTTACAGGGGTATTACGGCCAAATTAGGACAATTTCTGTGTATCACCATAGCGTTTCTTTTAACTTTCAAGAATGGAGCAAGAAAATAATTGGCTCCAGGACCTGCAAGTGTATTGTTGTACTACATTTCAGAGTTAATTTCCTGGGAACAATAGTGCTGAAATCAAACAGAAGTTTATGAGTGGAAAATGATCTTTCAAAAACAGTTGCAGGTGATATGGTGATGCAGTTTATAGGACTACTACTGAGCATGGCATTGGAAAGATTATGAGAAACCTTCATAAGATTACAGTGTATAAATGAGTAGCTAGCAGGTATGTGCTGCATTCTGTTTTCAAGTACTCTTTTACAGACATAACAAAACTCTTTGAGGTAGGGGAGATGAGCAGAGCTAAAGAGCTTTGTTTTTAGAAATAAAAGATATAAGCAGTAACGTAAGCTACATATGGCATATTAAGGACAAATGAATGGCCAGTTCACTTTGCAGCTTAGCACACTGTGCGTCTTGGAGGTCCCCGTATAATTTTGCGGATTTTGCCCTGTGGGTGAAGCCTGGATCTTTTCACACTTTTCCAGTACATGATGGTGGAGATCACCATTGTTACAGAAATGGTGGAAAGGACGCCACTCATGCAAATTCCAAATACTGTCCACGGACGTTTCTTGAGGCCTAAAATATAGGATTTTACCCTGGACTTGATCTGGAAATATCAAAAATAAGAGAAATGGTCAACCCTCACATAGTTATATTTAAAAGAGGCCAGTATCTATTATAAATAAAACTAGGGAACCAGGGAGAAAAATGTACAGGACAGAGAGCATATAAAATAATGCGAGCTGAGTGTTGAACTAGGCACAGGTTGCAGTGATGTTGAACTGCATCCAGAAAGACTAAAAGTAGCTAAGAAGCACATATAAACACCTGGCTGATCACGGAATAAAGGATAGCAGCACGGCGCATAGACCAGCCTTATTCATGGCATGGTGGTCCACCCTTGGACTACATTTCCAAGAGAATATCATAATGAATACAAGCTCCTGCAATGGTCTCTGGACAGACAGCAGTGTTGTACAAAGCCAGGAGATCCTTCAGGAACAACACATTTGTGAGCAGGTTTGTTTACCAAGATCTGGTCATAAAGCTCTGTGCAGCTGTGTGCGGCAGCAGGGTTACCCACCATGCCCCACTCCTCTGGTTTCAACTCCAGGAGGGAATCCTCACCCAAACTTTCCCTGTCTAGTAACAGGTTATCTGTATTCTAGTTAACAATCTAAGCTCCCAATTTTTAGTCATTGGGGAGAAAAGGATGCCTCCAGAGTAGTAGTCACCACATGTTAAAATACATATCAAAGACAGTGAGTATAAGGAGAGCCTTGTGACTAGCTTGGACTTAAACTTCTGACTCTTAGGCATTTAAAGTGAGATCTCATGGATTTCTCTGTATGACTCTAAACTAAGATGCTCGCCTCTTAACGCTCCCCAGTCTGTGGAGGGAAATGACTAACAGTTTCTCCAAAGGATGCTTCAGAGCACCTCTTTTCATGTATTACACAGAAATATTATTTCTAAATCACACCCTTAAACTTAGGAAATGTAAATCCATTAATAAACACCTTATTGTCTTCACTTCTATGTTTTCACAACCTAGCTCAAACACATTAGCCAAACTCACTCTTTACTTTTCCTGAATGTTTCCTATTGCCAAAAAGAAATGGGTGAAGAAATACTATTGGAACTCATGGACCGTGTTACCTTACAGGTAGTGACTAATTTCATCATTTTGCTGTGCAAAGAGTTTTTCCATTTTTTAATTAGGAATGAACCTGAGCTAGAAACCAAAAGCAGAGCAGCCTGTGACTAGTAGAGCTTGGAGTCCCATCAACTTTGCTCTTCTGCATTACAGGGATTTTGTGTACTTATAACTCACCAGATGACAGAAATCCTACCCTGGTTTACTTCACTTCATGTGAAAGTCTGGTGAATTAAGTGTCAGATAAACCCTGCTAAGTAGTACATGACCTGAAATGAGACCACATATGATAAGTGCTGTCGAGGTCTATTTTGTAGCAAGGCACTGATGGCTAAATAGTATAGGACCAACACAAGGACAAAGATGACATGTACTTAGGAAGATGCTATATTTCAGTAAAAATTATTTGACTAGCTATTTAAAAACCTCGAATAAGTGGGATTAAACAGAGGTATGTGTCTATGTTGCCAGTGCACAACAGTTGCAGGAGTAAGAACTAATGGAAATCCGATGGGCATTCTGAGAATTCAACTTCGTTCAACTCACCCTGGTCTCAAAAAGTTTCACATTTGTTCAGAGCTTCCAGTTATGATTAATACTAAAACCAATAATAATTAGCTGGTTCAGTGTATATTGTAGTTACTGGACCTATACAGAGTTTTGCCTAGAATCAGCCTTGGAAAACAACTCTTCTGTAATGTCTGCATAAAACGCAAGCCGTTTTGTAAGCATATAGTGTAAGAATCTGTTTGTCATGGCCATAAACTTGCAGACCGAGCCTGGAATGTCATCATCTTAGCCAGCCTGCAGAGAGGCTTATAGTAAGTGCATCTGTCAACAAAAAGCTTTCCAGTCTCGTCTGTGTCATCACTGTGGCCCAGTCAGTTAACACACAGAACAGGTCTGAGAGCAGTCTGAACACTCTTGACAGTGAAAGTCTGGGAATGTTTGGCCACCAAGGTTTAAGCAGTTTGGCCCTGAGAACTACCCTGCATGTTCAAAACACCTTCAAGTCTTTGAATCGATTGCCAACAGTGCGTCAGAACTGGGTCAACAAATAGTGCTGTTTTGTAACTTGTTTAGCTTTTGTTTTTTCCTAAGAGGCGTGCTGCGTTTTGAAGAGTACTGATTTTTCTTGCACAATGAAAACAAAAGCAGATACGTACTGAAATGAAAGTGTAAGGGAAGCACTCTCATGTCTCTGTGGGTCAAAACCTGGAAAGAAACACTCTCTTTCTTAATGGCCATCAAAAGAGTTAAAATAACGCTGTTCACAAAAGATAATGTTCCGCTGTTATTTTCCTGTGACTTCACAGTTATAATGAGCACTGGCCCAGAGAAAAGCTGGAGAAAATTAGAGGGTTACAGAACCGTGGCAGAAGTTTGGAAGTAGCTAAGCTGTTTGTATCAGCTTCAAGAAAGAAGTCCAATCTTGGGATAAGAATACAATTAAAAAGATTAAAGCAATGGTTTGGATTAAAAGATGACGTCACCTATTTTTTTTAATTTAATGGGCACGCACCTTCTGTTGCAGAATCCTTGTGACTCTGTGTGTGTGTGTGTGTGTGTGTGTCCTACAGAGAAGCTCCTCAGCCCAAGTCCCATGGGGTGCTGGTGTCCAGCAGTCACTGGGACTCACCAGCTTATGAGGGGCTCAAACATTGACACATGCCTTGGAAGCTGATTTCCTGAGGTCCAACACTGTGCAGCGTAAGTGTAGACAGATGCTTTCGGGCTGTGTACCTGAAGGGCAGGATGCAGAAAACACCCCTCTTCAGCACATGGGGCTTATTCTTGCTATTCTTCCTCCACACTGGCTTCCTCGTCAAAACACTGAGTTTTCCAAAGAGGACATCCATGTCTCTCTTTGCTATAGAAATGGTGGCTTGTTTTCTCTGTTTTTTGCTCTCTGGCAGTTTGCAGTGTGCCCACACCCACATCTCCTGGCAGCTTCTCAAGAGCCTTTCATGATATATGGGTTGCAGTGAGCAGAACAAGCAGGTGATGTATGCACAAGTTGGACCCAACAGGACTGTGGTTGAGCTGTTTAACCATGGCACCAGTTAAGGCTCACTGGTTATATTTAGAAGCCTAAGTAACTAGGCAAAGCTGTTAAGAGCCCAAGATATCACAGATTATAGACAATTTAGGCTGTGTTGACTTGAATAAGTGGATCTGTACAACAAACCAGCTGGTTTGGAGGAGCCCACTTCCACATATTCAGCTTTTCTGGGGTCTTGTTTCAGATTGCTCTAGCCTGGTTGCAGGGATGGACTGGCTGCTAGCACCAAAGCACACTAAGTGTGCTCCCCAAACACATTTTCATCTGAAAGAAATCCACTTTGTGTGTTCGGAGCTGTTGAAGCATCTCTACAGTATGTGGGGATGATCAGATTTTATTCACAGGTGACTCCTGATCCAAGGTAGAATATAAGTTGCCTCCTCCAGTGCTCATCCCAAAAAGTGGTGCTATCACCATATACGAAGGCTGCGTTTAAGCCACTTTGACATACAAACATCAGCATGGGCCAAGACTTCTTAAGTCAAACCAACTTTCTCTGAACAATTTTTTTCAAAGTCCACGTAACTGTGGATAGAAGAGGCTAGGTGACTGGCAAATGTGGCAAAGGATGCTCAGTGCCATCAGCCACGACATTTCTGTGGTTGCAGAGTTAGTATGAGAGAGGAGGAGATACCCACATTTATTCACAGAAGGTATTTAGTGAAACTTCTAATCAGAGGAATCTAAAACTGAGACTCACCAGCTATACTGAGAAGTCTAAGTGAGTGGCCAAAGCTATTAAGAACCACAAATTACGCTGTGTAAATGTGGCCTTAAGCCTCAGTGCATGAATAAGTGTAAATAAAAGCCCCCATATATTTGCAGAACCTCAATGGAGTCATGAAGAAGCAGAGGCATCCCTCAGGATCAGGAGTGGGAATCAACTTTCGGTGCAAATCTTGGGCTTCAGGAATACATTTTTGAATGAGACATAAGGGTGAACAAAGAGTGGCTTTTTCCAGCAGTATAGAAGGTTAACATGCCACTCAATACCCATTTCTATAAAACCAGGCTCAGTGAAATTAAAGGCTTTTGGATTTTTTTATCACTGTATTATTCCAAGAGCAAAAGGTCCTTTTGATGTGCAATACTGCTGAACTTAGCTACAAGGCATCTATCTCGAAGGGCACAGCCTTTTGCTAATTGCAATGGTAAATGTTAATCAGAAGATATGCCTGCTTAATTACTTAGTGTGATTAACACTGCAGGAAACCTCAAGAGGATGCATTCAAAAATATCCTCCTTATCCAAAATTGGTAATACATAAACGCCCAACAAACAGCTCACTAAAAGAGACTTTGTGCAGCTGGAGCACAAAGGGATGAAATGTATATTTGCAACGGCCTCTGAGAGAGAGTGTCTTTGTGTGTGAGTGTGTGAGAGTTTGTACGCAATGTCCCTGTATCAAGAGACTGTTTTCTTCACAAAGGGTTAGCGGTGACTGTTGTTTCAGGGGTATGTGGAGTGACCTGAGCATCTCATTCGCATGCAAGCTGGAATTCGAGAGTGGCTTTTGTGAGGAGATGTGGTGTTCTTGGGTAAAAAACCCACTCAACCCAAATCAGTGCAAGCAATAGAAGAACTAATGAACAAAATGTACAAAAGCTTATGGAGGATGCGACAGCAGACTGATGGTGCAGATACTGCTGAAGAGACCTACTCAAGTGAAGAAAGACAGTCACTGTGTTGGGACATGGCATCGAGAAGAGTGTGGGAAGAATGGAAAAACTTTGTCTGAAGGGAATCCATGTCTTCAGAGCACTCTCTGCTTCCTCTTTACACTTTATCAGGAGGGGCACTCCCTCACCTTGTGCCAAATCTATACTGCTGGAGGGGGGGAAAAGGAAGCAGAGAGGGTGCTGATGTTGGTGAATCCAGGTGCTGATCCAGGAAACGCCATCGTAAAGCATCAGCTGCTCTTGATTTCCTTCCAGACATCCTTCATCAGCCGGTTTAGGGACATGTCTCCTCCCCCAGCAGAGGAGGTGTGGGGCACCTTCCCCTCCACACCCTTCAGCCCAGTAGCTCAGCCCCACACACTCACAGAGACGTTACCAGCTGCCCTGGGAGGGGAGGGCAAGTTGGGGGCTGGATGCTGGGGGCCAACAGCGTGGACAGTGCCTGAGGCTACCCGGTGCCACGTGCTCCTGAAATGGGCACCCTGTGAGAAGCATGGAAGCAAGGCAGGAGGGTAGATGCTCTCACTGTTGGCTGCAGGTTGAACTCTTTATTTGTCATACAAACCCCCTCCAAAACTTACAGTTTGCATGGGAAACTACAAGGAGCTACTCTGGTTTACCTTGCTGATGAGCACAAAGGTTCTCTGCAGATACCTTTTAACTTCCAGCAGGTTTTGAACTGAGTGCCAGGAGTATCATAAAAATGCACCTAATAAGGAGTATCAGTGGAATGAGAGGGGACGGAGAAAACAGACAAAGACTGTAACAGCTGAGGGAGCAGTGGGTGCATTTTGACGAAACAAAGAGAAAACCAGTCACCGTCTGTAGGAAGACATTTGCATCTTTGCCCAGTATGTGTGTGGTCCAGACGCTGTCAGGCTAATGATGTGTTTCTCATCTACTTTAAAGGCCATTTCCTCCCTGCTGGTACCTACTAAAAGGCATAGCAAGGCACTTACAATAAATAAGAATCATGCAAGCATGCGCTGCTCACCATAAATCGTTTCTCGTTCTTTGGTTGACATAAAAGTTGGGCTGACAGGAGACTCTTGACCTGCATGCACTATCTTTAGAGTCGTTTCATTTGCTAATAATACTGCAATTATTAAACTCACATCCAAAATTCTATGTACTTTAAAGCATTTCTGTAATACTTTTGCACTTTTCCTATAAACTCACATCCAAAATTCTATGTACTTTAAAGCATTTCTGTAATGCTTTTGTACTTTTCCTATAAACTCACATCCAAAATTCTACGTACTTTAAAGCATTTCTGTAATGCTTTTGCACTTTTCCTATAAACTCACATCCAAAATTCTATGTACTTTAAAGCATTTCTATAATGCTTTTGCACTTTTCCTATGTCACTTATGTTGACTTGCAAAATTGGTCTGATATATTTCACTCTGGGCCCAGCTACTTTACACTCACTTTTTTAGGGGAAAAATACATTTTTCTTCTGAATGAAAACAAAAAAGCAGAAATGTAGCAGTCAGGATTTACCTTTACTCTCAGGAGTCCATAGTCCTTAATTTGCATATATCTCTAAGAATCAGATGCAGGAAACTCATCTCCCAACCACACTGCGCTCCTACCTTTATACCTTTGCAATTTCTCTGATCCAAATATCTTTTACAGTCATGGCTGTAGAATCCAGCTTCACCACAAGGCTCTAGAAATTCTCTACAAAACAGAGCTAGCAAGAGAGGATAAGCAACGGCTGGCAAATTTTTGGCTGTTGAGTTCAACTCCTGAAACATTTTCAAAGCTGTCTCAGAAACAGAGCAAGGATCACCTCACTTACGGATTTTTCTGAAATGTTTGCTTACCTCTTCTGTGATATCAATCTTCAGAACTGCTGTGGTACTGAAGGATGGGGAGCCTCGGTCTTTGGCCTGCACCACCAGTGACCATATGCAGTCTTTGTTCTTTGTGATGTTGTGGATGATGTCCAGGGAACGGATATAGGATTTCAGCTTGATTTCCCCAGTGCTTTGGTCTATATCAAACACATTGGCTGGATCTGCTTGCATGATGGAATAATCCACAATGTTGTTGGGTTCTTCTGCATCTTGATCTATGGCCTGGTAGGGGAAGTGTAAAGAACAAAAGATGTTATTGTTTGTAGCTTTGCCTGAAGACAAAACTTCAGAAGTTTCTGAGCATTCACTTCTGATAATATCCATGCTGTGAGATGGCTGGGCTCTTTTTGTTTCATCTTGGAAACAATTTCCCCCTCTCTGGTGTCAGCTATGCTATGTTTTCTAGTGAAGAACAGCAGGACTAGAGCTCTTTCTGTATGAGCTTAAATAAGAGGGAAAACTGAACCATAACCTATCTGTAGAATGCAAATTGTCCGCTGCTGGGGAGTTTCTCACACAGCATGGGGAACAAATGTGAAGTGATAGGGAACAACGGGATCAGCTCCACACTACAAACTACAGCTGCCTTAATTTTTGTGCTGTGGTGTTTAGTCTACTAACATTAGGTGTTGTGTAATTGGGCTTCACTATACGCATTCAGATATGTGTAACATAGGATGTTCCGCTCCTTTGCCTCTGAATTGTTATTGTAATTATTTTTTTTTTACCTCCTGTTCCACACTGGATCAATGAATACAATTCTAGAAAGCGAAGGGAAAGAAGTTGTGTGGTTGAGCACAAAGACGTGTCAGGAAGGTTAAGTATTCAAAAGCCTGTACTTCCATTCACTCATCTTATTTGGGCTTCTTATGGTCACTGCATAACCCAGAATCCTCTACCAGCTGATGGCTCAAATGCTGTAACAGAACTTTATCTTTCGCCTATAGAATTTATTTCTCCTTCTCTGCAGTCTGTAAATTCTACCATTCCACGTTTTAATCCATTTGTTACATACAGATGTATGCGCAAAATAAAGCCCCAGGGCAAGTCAACTTCCAGGCATTCATCATGACCCCTGAGCAACAAAGAGGTGCTGGGGCTTTTCCAAAGCACCCTGCTTTGTGACACACCCTGTCTCCTCTCACCTCTATCTTTACCGGGGACCCGATGATCATCGTCTTTTCCTGGATGTTTTCATTGAACTCTGGAGAGTGGTCATTGACATCTAGCACAGTGATAAACACTTCAGCCAAACTGTATTTCCCATCTGTGTCCTCCGCTTTCACATAGAAATTATACTTTGAGTTCACTTCAGCATCTAATACAGCCCAGGGCTGGGTGTAAATTATACCTGTTGACGGGTGGATTAGGAACCTGGAAAAGAAGCAGAGAAAGACTTTTGAGCTTTTGGTCCCTTGAGGTGTATTTACAACCCGGGGCTCTAAACTTTGAAATGTTGTGCCCAAAGGTGGGTATCTTCATCCGACTCCTGCCTGGCTGGTGTTTCCAAATCATTCACTCTGTCTGGCTTTGGCTAGCTCCTTTAGGCTTGTAAACGAGAGAACTTCCAGTCTCTGGTGTTTTTCTATCTATTGTGCATTACCCACTTTAACTGCATTTTCTGTTAAAGTCTTGGTCCTCAGTAAATGCTCAATGTGATGGCCCTCTCCAAGAGTGATTTCTTTGTGTTAAAACATTAAGGAACTGCCTATTTTTGGGGGGAGTTATAAGCACAATATGTTAGATCATTTCCTGCATAAATTAGAATTGATTGATATCACCTCAATAGCTAAAGGAAGCATGCTGCATATCATATTTAAGCTCTTCACTTCTCAGAATGGGTAAGAAAAATGGCTGCTCTCAAATCCCCTGAAGTGCAGAGCAAATTATCTCCTCCAAAAATAATCACTTTTCCATATACTGGCACTGGGATGGAGTGGGTGTTCAGATTTATTTGTAGCAAGTTCAATTCTACACATTCGTAATTACTGCGACACCGTCAAAAGTGTCAGCCAAAAGCTTGGATTTATAAAGAAGATACCAACACACTGTCTTTCTAAAATGGACTGCCAGTGTAGGCTCCAACTAGTTGGGTTTTTAACGGATGAAAGGTTTTATATACTCTTTAATTAGTGTACAGGATAACAAAAATATTTTCTTTATTGCACCTGTGAGTGCAATTGAACATGATTAGAAAACGGTCACTTAATAATCCAGTACGTTTTTTTGTTTTCATTACCTTCTTAAATACAAATACAAGTCTCAAGGAAAGCCAAGACCTGGAGGTGGAAGGAGCTGTGCAAACACTTGGCAAGAGACAACGCCTGTGCTAAGTGTCTCCTCAGCACCCAACGCAGCCTCACCACACAAAAAGGACTTTCATTACCCCCATTTTAGCAGAAGAACAGAAACACTGATGTGAAGAGATTACAGCAGTGTGATCCACTCCCACTGGCAGCCTGGATGTAGGATTGCCAGCATAATGGTTTTATCTTCAACTCTTAACACTATTCCTCTTACTCCAGTGCAGCTCATCTTTCTACCAACAGAACTGCATATCCACTGATATAACCCTTGAGACAGAAGAAATCATGCCTCTCATTGAAACTCTCAAATTTGCATCAGGCTGTGTGCTCAGCAGATCTGGAGGTCCCAGGGCTAGGAAATCAACCCAGATTTGTAGAGCCATGCCATTCTGGCACAAAGAGAATTAAAAAAAAAAAATCATACTTAAGAGGAAAAAAATAGTCTTCACGTGTTAATTTCCTCATTCAACAGCATAAGAGCAGTGAGTGTGAGCATCCCCATAACTCCAACCAGAATAAAGTTGGACTCATTTTTCCCTAAATCCTTCATCAACAACCTTCACAAGCTTCTTTGCACCAGCTGCTACATTTTAAACCGAAGAATTCTGCCTGCACGACATGACCTTTGCCTGCTTGCTGCTATACAGTTAGCAGTTAGCTTAAGGACTTAGTGTAGAGCTCAAAATAATCCATCCTGGAAGAGCTCCTGTATGTGTATCCTTCTGGCTACAGAAGGGTTTCACCCTTAACATCTTGGATTTTGGGCTCTGATTGTGTCTCCTAAGTGGCTTTCACTTTAACAAGAAGAGTTCATCTTTAATTCCAGGTGGATAACATACAGAGAAAAAATGGATTCTGGGGATGAGTGTCTGAAAATTTCATTCATGTCCAATATTCTGCCCTGCAGACCCACCATGTCCAGGAGCTGCAGGTTCCAGCAGCCAGATCTCTCATGGCTAGTGATGCCAGCCAGCCATGGCTGGGACCCCCGAGCAACGGGACAGGGCAACTTCTTGGGTGGAAGCAGTGTGGGAGAAACCAGTGTTTCAGGATGTTCTTACCCCCAAGACAGGGAGAGGGAGCTAGGTGCTATTACAAAATCAAGTAAGCAGCTTCTTCCCTTATGCAGGATTATTAGGTTTAAAGATATAAGATTCTTTGAACATCCAATGCAGCTGGCCTCCAAAGCTAAAGTTTATATTCTTGGAAGGCTTGTCATCTTTGATTTATTTTGACAAGAGCTGAAATGGAACTCTTTGTACAGCTATATGGGAAGGGAAGGAGAAAGAGGAAGAGATTTTTTTCCTTCAGAAATGTCTTTTCACAACAACTAGACCAAAACTGCCCCTTTCTTTTACAACCTTTTTTCAAACAGTGATTGAATAGACCCTGTGTATTGGTATTTCAGCTGCCTTATGTCTCTTTGGGGGCTTGTGGGTAAAATTCCATGGGTTCATGAAGCAGATGTTTAATGATCACACTAGTTTTTCTGTTGTTATTTTCACAGAACTCACAAAGAACATGGCATAAATGTCCTTGGAAATGAGCAAATCAAGAATGAGTCTGTTCTTTTTAAAAAACTCTTCTAAAACTCTGTTTGTTTGTTGTTTTTTTTTACTTACAGATCTGCTCCTGTTCCATAGATAGAGTACTTGATTTCTCCCCAAAGCCCTGAATCTGGATCGGTAGCCTTGGGAAGAGAAAATAAGAGAATCATCCTTTACTAATGTTTCATTTTTCTTTTAACAACAGGCCATGTGAAAACCCAAATGATTTTCCCTCCTTTTGCCATCACACTTTTAGGGGAAAAAAATCACATAAACAAGTGCACACCCAGAAAACTGCACAATCTAACAGAAGGAAATGTCACCGTCTGTAGCAGGGAAGCTGCTGAGATGCCGCCGGTCTCCTGGCCAGGCTGGGGCCCGGGGGCTCTGGGAGGGGGGGGAGGCCACAGATCTCCTGGCCAGGCTGGTGCCCGGAGGCTCTGGCAGGGAGAGAAGCCACTAGATGGCTCCAGGTATTGATATTTAACATATCCTGCCTTAAACAGAGGCGAAGCTGGTCTCAGCGACACCACTAAACTGCCCACTCTCAAGCCTTCCTAATTATCAATGAAATATTAATGTACATTCCCTAGACACAATTACTTACTTTTATTTCTTAAGCCTCCGTCGTTTAAACTGATTTAATTTAAAATAATGCATGACAACATTGCCCTTCAATCTGCATGCAGTATTTCAGCTTTGTTTATATTTTAATCGCTCCTGCGCCCATGTGACTTTTAGTAGTGCAGATACTACGCCAGATGATATCTTTGTTCCGGACTCTTGTTGGCTTCCTTTCTTAGGTCAGGATTAGGAAAGCTATTGATTTGCTAAAGCTACTTCCATAAGCTCCTGTTTCTCTGATAGCTCTGAGGAGACGTTATATTACCCGGTTGTATCTGGCCATCAAATTGCAGGGCAGCCATGGCTGATTCATTCATCTGCTTGTTTAAATACTTGAAAATGGGAACAATCTTTTCAGTTCCTGCGTGGTTAACCTAACACACCTGCAGCCCTACTGATAGGTGTTTTTTTTGACATGAGCTTGTTGGATTCTCTCACCCCATATTTTTGACTGCAGCCTACTTTACGACTGCCTAACTTTTCCTAAAACTTTTGCAGGCCTGGGACTTCTGTCAGAACTGCCACCCTGAATGCTTGGAGTATCTCAGTTTGCAAAGCATATTTGTGAATCTGGGTCAAGCACTGAGTTGACAGCACATGACAGTAAATTTTACATGAAGTCCTCAGCTATTCTGTCCTGTGCACCGTGGCTCAGAATGGCTAGTTTTATTGCCTTGCAACCATTTTTTTTAGCTATCCACATCCTAGAATTTTTTATTGCTCTTGCTGCAAAGATAGTGATGTTTGGGAGTCTCTGCTTTCTACAGCTTTGCTATGAGTTTCCTCTAATAACCTTTCCTGTATTGTTTATGTTCCATTTCTTTCATTCTTCCATTCCTAAAATTTCCCTTCTGTGCTTTATTATTTTGACTACTTAACTTTTTTCTTACTTGCAGCCAGCCTGTGCTGGAGATCCCTGGCAACCTGTCTCTACCATCCTCACCTGTGAGGTCTCTGCAGGGTGACATGTGTCACCTACCCAGCTCTGAACAGGAGCTTTCTCACCTCTGTGACATGAAATGTGTTCCCAGCCCCAGCAGCAGCATTAAAGAGACACAGCTCACACTAGTGGCTGGAAATGTTTCTCCAGCACATAAGGCTCGTGACTTTCTAGCTATGAAAATGTGAGGTACTGGGAAATCTATAGGCATATTTTTTCCCGCTGTGAGAAGATACACCAGGATCTTTCTTAGCTCTAAGCATTTTAATATAATGTTCTTGCCTTCATTAGCTGTCTAATTATGCATTTGGCAGCCTGGTTCCTCCCAGAAGGAGGAGACTAATACCTACTAAGTAAGCAGCCATCTTGTTTTCTTCTTACTCATCCTTAAGCAAATCCAGTAAATCCAATTCCACTTAGCCGTAACTGAATCTTCCTGCTGGACACCGATTTGATTGGGTCTTTCTTAGTATTCACAAGCCATGTTATTTGTCTTAAAAGCAGATGGTCTTTAATTAAAATACAAAGCAGATTTGCTGTTCTGAGAAATGTTTGCCTAAAATTTTACTTTTCCAGAGGTAGGGTTATTTCATTGATTCTGGAAAGGACCTGGAGCTCAGTTCAGAAGCTGAATGGTAAGAGTTGCTGACTCTGTCCCACTATTTTTAAGGTGCTTGAACTGTCTCCGCAGACCCCTAGAAAAGAGAGAGGTTCTTAAGAGATGAATGAAACTTACTGTAACAGCAACTACGTTTGAGCCCCCTGGGGAGTTCTCAGGGATCCTGGCAATGTAGTAATCGGAGGAGAACTTCGGGACATTGTCATTGGTATCCAGCAAGTGTATCACTACGTCAGCTGTCGAGCTGAATTTCTCCGGTGTGTTGACCTCTATTGCAAGAAGCTAAAAAGAGAAAACCAGGAAATTACTGCAAAGCAGCTATTATTATTTCTTAAAGGAGCTTCCTTCCACTACCCATGGCGCACTGGTTAGACCAGACAGCTCAAAATCGGTTCTCAGTAGGCAACAGAGAGCTCTCAGATACCCCCAGGGAAAAGCGACTTGAATGAGTGAGAGACCTCCAAGGCCTCGGGCAAGCACTTTTCCACTGGAGTTCAGCTACTTAGCTGAATATTTTCTCTCTTAGCCCAAAAGGACTGTGTCTCTGTCTGCTCCTCAGCCAGTCAGGGGAATGTCAGTAGGAAGGCAGGGCTGGCAGAGCAGCAAGGCTATTGCTCAGGTGGTGTGAGACTGAGCAAGAAAGAGCAGTTTCAGCAACAGGTGCTGAGAGACACTGAACCTTTACAGCCTCTGGCCCAGGCCTCTGGTCCCTGATGGGTGGCTGCAAGTCCCAGAATCAGCACTAGGGCATCAGTCTTGGGCTCTGTAGGGGCTGAAGCCAAATGACCAACACAACGACCAAGAGCCAGCCATTTGGTTTTCATGCTTGGGCAAGGATGTGGTTAACACAAAGCAGGAGGGCTCTAGAAACCTCCTGAGGGCAGCACACCACTAACAGACTAGTGGGCAGGACTTGTAACTGAGGTAAGAGAGGCTCAGCTGAAAAATCTAGCTGCATGGGTTTTAATTCCCAGCAGGCGTGTGTTGCAGGAGCTCCCTCAAGGAAGGCAAATGCCTAAGTGGGCTTTGAGCTTTGGAAGGTGGACCAGGGCTGCTTCGGCCTCTCTGTCTCTGCTGGTGCAGCACCTCACTGCAACGAGGGCTGTGGGAGCTCATCTTCCCTCTCCCAGCATGTCACAGGTCCCTGTGGGGCAGGCGGTGGCACCACGGGCAGGCTGTGGGGCACAGGCTGTGCTCTGCTGGATTCAGAGAAGTCTGTGTCACCTAGAGGCAGCAGGGTTTGGGGAGGCTGGGGGACAGCTTAACTATTCATGGAAAAGCTATCTCATTATCACCTCCTGAAGTTGTTCCTATGGTGTGAACAGTTATGATGCCTGGAAATAAAGAGTGAGGGGGGTCTTGAAGAAATTAATCTTGAAGGATTGCTTGTAATTACTATAGGATACATCTGCTCTAAAAGAGGAGTTTGATCACAGCACGTCTGTGTGAACTGTGTTTGGGAGTCTCGGCTGGTATTACAGCAAAAGAAATTTTTGACGGGACAGTCATACAGACACCAGCAAAAACCTGCGTGTAAGCAGTCTCAGCTCCCAAAGCAGCACAGAGATAAAATCTTATTGCTTAACATGTACATGGAGCTATAACTAAATTATAACATCTGCAGTGGAGTAATCCTTGCTGCTGGAATCAGCCCATCTTAAAATACCCTATGGGAGCTCAGTATTTTTACTTTGTTTTCTACATTCATTTTTCATTCCCTCTCCTTTTAGCAGCCATAGTCCAGCTATGTCAATATGCTGACAACATCTTCCTTCAGGGAAGGATTTTTGTCAGCTTGCTTGCCTGCAATGTGGCATAGTTTGTTTTATGCAGAGAGAAAAAAAAAAAGAAACATAAAACTGTTACTTCACATTACTACGTATCAACAGTTAATACAAGTGCCAGAACAGCACTTATTCTGAGATGTAATCTTGAAAGTGGCAGGTACATTTTTAAAATAGAGTTTGATTTTGGCAACTGCAGATAATTTCAGCCTCACCTGGTCCTGGCCTGTGGGAGATGTGAGCATCTGCAGAATGGGAGGGGTAGGTCCAGGCTCCTGTCAAGGCAGGATGTATTCTAGGCTGAAGGAGGTGGAGGCGGGAGGTTTGGCCCCAAAATGTGTCAGCCCGTGACAAGGTGGGACAGCAATATCTGGCCCCTCTAGCAGAGGCACTTGAGATCTAAAAGGCCAGGCTGGGTGGATACGAATTACCACAGGTGCCATGCCTTGGGAAACCCACACTAACTCTCCAATGGCTGAAAACGAAGGAGGTCCTGACTACTAACTGCATTTAAGAGCCAGCCCTAAATGGAAGATAGATTTTCTCTAGTAGCCTTTACTTCAGGTAGTTTTTCAGTGCATCCACCAGACAAATTAGCTTTAATTCCTCTCTGGCATTTGGCTTTTCAAACAAGAGAAGAGAGATCACTCCTTGCAGAAAAAAAAAACACCCTGAAAATAGCTTTTTGGAGCTGCTGTGGGATATATGTTAAACAGAAATAAGAACATATTTCATCCAAAAATCTAACCAGAATGACTACGTTGGCATCTAAAACTGAGTAGGAAGCAATTTGAACTTTTCAGGGAAATGGAGACAGCAATGGGGTCTTTATAAAGCTTTTGCTGTCATATATTACTACCATATCATCCAGCTGCACCTTCTTCATTTGGAATCCAGACAAAGGCTCCACATTTTTAGCAAAGCCTTATGGTCTCTCTCCAGGAGAAATAATTTAATTTAAAAAAATAAAGTGAATAACTGCTTAAGCTAAAAAAAATAATTCATTTTTTCTGATAATTAACTCTGTGTTCAACTACTTTAATTTCTATTTGTACTCATGAGGAGGCCATGTGCAACTTCTTTACTGCTCTTTTGGTCATTTAACCTGAAAAAATGTGTGCTTATTATGGCTAGTTTTGGTAGCACTTTATGGCCCTTTCAGAATCTTCCATTTTAACACAGTAATGATTCCTCATATTTTTGTAGCATCTAGAACCTATGAAGCTCAAAATGACTGAGGAACATTAGAAGAGGTGACATGAAGCACACTGCAATGAGACTTGCTAAGGACACAAAGCAAACCACATAGCAAGAGTGAGAACAAAATCCAGGCATCTGGCTTCTAGGCTGTGTAAAAAATGCCACTTTCTGTACAAAAACTCGTGTATGTTAATACTCAGCTAGATAGTTTTGGCAATTTTTTTTTTAAAATGGTTACAGAGATTGTCTATGGCTTTTGCGGTCAGAACTAAGCCATCCACACTTATGTTCAGAGGCAGCTGACCCAAAACCAGACTACTTAATCATCTTGTTGATGAGCCAATGAATCCGTCAGGGAAGGTGACAATGCAAGGGTCCAGCTTTTGGATGAAAGCTGGTTCTTGTATGGCTGGGTTAGAGTACGTCAGTCTGCAAAAGGCCATACACTCTGACAGAGAGATACACTCTGACAAAGGCAGTGAGCAATTTTGGGAAATTATCTTCCAGTCAGTTGGGGTCTTCAGCCTGCCAACATTCTAAAGCATTATCATGAACCAAATTACTTGGGACTAAGTAGTAAAGTTCTGGCTCCAGAGAAACTAGGATTTCATCCTGTGAATTTATCATTGTAAGAGCAGAAATAACACCCTCAGGGTTCAGTCTAGAATGATTCAGAGCCACCAACGCATGGAGTTTCTACAGAGAGATAATACTCAACATTTTGCACTGACTGGAGTAAATTAGTCCACAGATGCACCCATTAAACTTTTGGAAGTTGATGAACCAGAGGCAGAAATGAGTTTTGCCTTACATGGAATATAATATCACTGACAACACATCAGACAGTTCCAGGTGGATTAAGAAGACAGATCCCATCAGATACATTAACCATCGTACATATGTCATATACACAGGCAGAGATGACCCAGAAAGCATAAGTACCTTGAAGGTTAACACCTTGAATTTTTCATAGTCAATAGCAGCAGAATTTTCCACTATTATTGTAACCTGCGCTTCATTCAGGACAGTTTGGGGAACCACTCGGAAGATGCCACCAGGTCCAACAAGTCGGAGGTTGAATTTAGCATTGGCTCCCTGTGAATAAAAGCAGATAAGACACTGTTTTCAGTGAACGGTGCATTTCTTACAGCCCAGATTGGCTCTGTTTCTTCCTACTGTATAAAATTAGAATGAGCCTTACTGCTTAGAGCCCTCCGCTCTCCATCCCCTGGGCAAGAGACTGCTAAGAAGCTTAGTTATATAATCCCTCCAGCCCTGGTCACAAGACAGATACAGCTTTTCTTAAAATAGATTGACAAGTTTGGTTATTCTTTCAGTCATAATGGAAAAACCCTGCAGCAGGACTGGCTAAGAGAGGGACTCTTGTGGCAAGCAGCTTTGGGCGTCATGCCACACGCTGTGATCCAGTGTGGGTGACAGAGGTGACACCACGTGCACATCGGCAGGCGAGCCCTGCCTTCTCCTGACTCCTGCCAAGGAAAGACAGCTGAACTGCTCGAGTCAGGAAAACGGACCCTCAAAAACCCAGCCTGTGTCCTCAGAGCTCGCAGCCTGGGATGATGGTGCAGAGCCACGAAGACATGTGGTTCCAAAACAAAGGTGGTACTCCACAATTTGCACTGAGTGGATTAAGTTAGCCCAGAGTTACAGCCCCTAGACCTTTTGGAAGTTGATGTGCTTAGGGGGACAGAGCAGAGAATAAAATCTGACACATATTTGACAACTCCAGGTGAAGGGAGAAGTCAAATCGCATAATGTAGAAAAAACTTCCAGCCAGAAAGGATATGGGAAGCAGCAGTATCTAAAAGGTTAGCACCACTTGTATGTGAGTTGGGAAGAGTGAGCCAGAGCCAGCTGGCCAGATCAATTCTTTTAAACCAGATTGGATCATGGAAGAAAAAACATGAAATGGGGATTCTCAGATTTCTGCCTTACAGGGAAAGTGGGAAAACAAGCTGAGCCCACTGCACCAGTTTTTCAAATAATATCCTGTTCACACCGAGACCAACGAGCCAGAGTCACTGGCTGGCTGGTGCCACATTCTCCCCCTAGCATGAATCACGAGATGAAGGATTTCTAATAATAACTTTCAAACAGGATAACTACTTTCAGTTGTATCCCTGGAGGGCTTGTTATGAGCAGTTCTTGCTGCAACCCTAGCTCATGTCAAAAGGAAAAGTATTCAGCAGTAGTCCCCCAAGGGTGACCGAATGATCTCGGATCCGAACTCATTGGTCCGCATTGTTCGGTCATACAAACTCCCACAGTTACAGAGGTGACAACAGGCTCTCTTTTGCTGGGTAACAAAGCTAAACATACAAAGCCAGAGCTGCTGGACTATGGAAAACAAGGCTGATGGGGAAGGGACTGTCAGACTGTACACAGTCCTCTGCTCTTGGGACTGTACATGGCTGGAGGGACGATGGCAAGGGGTAGAGAGAGAACTTCCTCCCTCCAACGGCTGAGCCATTTCTGACAGCGATGCCCGCTGAACCCAGATCTGCTCGGAGCAAGCCATGCTGCTGTACGTCTCCAAGTGGACAGCCATGAGGACACAGGTATGACTGAAGGAACAACAGCACCGAGCCCCAGGCTGTGCGTGTTGGATGGCGAGGGCTGGCAGACAAATTTCTGCATAATGCTCTTGCAAGTATAGATGACATTTCCATCAAACTGCAGGCCTAAACCAGATCTTCCTCACAGCTTCCTCCTCCTCACTTGTACCATCCATCCCCACAAAAGAGTCATTAATGGCTATGTCAGAAACAGACAAGTATTTAATTTTCTTCTCTGTATAGTCTTGTGCAGAAGGGGAAGCATTCCATTCTATGCCTTAAAAGAAAAGCAACCCAGCCTTCCCAGAGTGATGTCTAACACTGCACTAGGAAGCTTCTTGAGAAATATATACAGTGTATTTAGCAATGTTTTCTGCTTATTTTATAGCCTAACTTGCAGCCTGAATATTTTGTCAGCCCACATACAATGCATATATATTTTGTCTCTAAACAGAAGAGATGGGTTTTGTTTCTTTCCCTCTGCAGCAGCATCCCCCATGACAATAGCAAGATAGACGTAGCAGTGTTTTGAAAGCAGTCATTTATCTACTTGCTGCAGAGCAGCAGGAGGGAGGGGGAAGAAGCCTAGTGGGTTTGACAGAATACAATGCAGTCAAAACAGCACAATACTGAGAACAGTTATATAAGAGCATTCTCTGATGCATTAAGCTTTTCTCTTGTCACTACCTAACCTCAGGCTAACTCGGATGGATGCCATTCATACAGCCTTTAGCTTAGGGATCCCTATAGCAACCATCACCATAGCATCTATAAGCATCACGGGCCAGACAGACGGCTGAGATGGATGGCATCTTCTTTCCTTTTTCTCTACCTGGTTGGAGTTAGTTAGGCTCTGGCATAATTTTTAAGATTACCTAAAAATATCACTCCAGTGAGAGTGAATTATCAAAGCATGCACTGCAGACTCTGGCTGTAACATAAGGGCCAGAATGATAATATATTGTAATAAAACCAACGTAATCATATGGTCTGTACTGTTTGCAGCAGGGGCTGAGAAGACATGGATAGCAATTGCAATTGAAGCTACTGAAGTGAATGAAAACTTTAAGTAAATCTACAAAGGGAGTACATTCTTGGATGTTACACTGACAACAACTGAAAGCAGCCAGTAGTTAGGGGAAGTTCATACAGACTGTTAAACTTTAGTCACCCATGGGAACTGGGCTACAGCTTTATGACCATTTTTCTCATCAACATAGCAGTGTATGAAAGAAGAAGTATACTTCTGGGTCCAAACTCCCTGTGGTAAGGGAGCCTGCAACTAGTTTGTCTGCCCTACGCTTTTGGGGAATGCAGGTGAAACGGTTGAGTTCCTAAAATGACATTTCCCCATTTGACAACTCTTTCTAGTGTTTGGGAAAATAGGGGAGGAAGACTGAAAGTCCACATAGTTTCCATTTACCTGATCTGAATCGTTGACTGTAATCTTCAATCCTCGCAAGATTTCACCCTCTGGGGGGTGCTCGTACATGGTCAGTTCAAATTTGTTCTGGGGACCATTTTCTCCATAGAACGTTGGTGGATGGTTGTTGAGGTCAACCACCCGTATAGTCACCATGGCAAAAGCATACACTGAGGTTTCACCTTCCTCACTGACTTCTGATGCCTGTGGAACGCAGGAGAGAGAAAAGAATTATGAGGGTATACTCTCATTCCTCAGTTCCATGGTCAGGTATTGTGTCCCGTGTGTACAAATCACCCTGCTGCACTAACTTGAACAAAGATTCACAGCCTTATATTTATTTGGAAATCTCAGTCCATTTCACACTGAAGTTTATAGTGATTAGAAGATTATGGTAATAAACCAGTCTCAATAAAACCTCAGTGAAAAAATTCTCCTCCTCATTTTGTGAGTTTAGTAACTCACCCTAGGTGAAAATAGTTCTCTAAAGACAGATAATCTAATACAGGCAAGATAATTGCTTGCCTAAAGTGTTGACAGAATAGAAAAAGAAGACAATCTTTGAATTTGTTGTGGTACCACAGGTAGTTAATTTTCACATTGCTGCAAGGACTGCAGCCTTGAAAACTCTGTGAGAAAAATTACTTGTGGTATTTAGGCAAATACTTGAAAAAGAAAAATGACACACTTTTTTTGAGATTTAGTTGCTGGTTTACAATTCAGCTTTGCTGTCTAGATGAGCTTAATTTAAACTGGATGTAGTCAGATAGACAAGCAAACCTAGATGGCATTCTGAACTAAATGATCAAATCTGTTTGGGTTTCAACAATTCCAACATGCAGTCTGATTCACTGGATTGAACCTGAAACACTTCTTTCAGGACAGAAACTCTGGCTGGTGTTTTTGTAACAAAAGAGCTCTCTCTAACATGCCTCTTTTTTTTTTTTTTTTGAAAGGGCTCAAGCCCAAAGGCACAAGACTCTTAAATTTCTCTGAGGTTGTTAGCCTGGTTCCTGAGGAGCCTGTCGCTACCTACGTGGGTTAATACAACACCCTTTTGGCTCCTCAAGCAGATTTTGTAGCCTGCACAAGCTCCAGGTCACCACAGATAAAACTAGATCATCAGAAAAGCTTGAAGGGCTTAACTAATCCTGTATCTGGGGAGCTCTAGCAGGCTGCAGTAAACCAGAGAGATTAGGGGAAGAAACAGTGCCTGAGTTTAACTTGGACAATGGGAAACCTGTGACCTCCCAGGTTCAACAAGCTGCTTGAGCCCACTAGCAAGAAAATGCCCTTGGGGATGATACACTGGTTCTGGCAGCGTGGGAACCTTCAGAGCAGCCTTTAGACAATACTGTCCTTGCCATAACAAAGTCTTGTCGTTGTAATGTGCATTTGTTGAAGAAAATTGATACGGTCTTCACAATTTAACTCTACATTTTTAAACTCTTGGTCTTTAGAAACTGCTTAAAATAATGCATCCTGTCACAACGATAGTAGCTCATCAAGGTGTTAGGATTTTTTTTTATGTGACCAATCAACGCTTCAGAAGCGGGTACTGATATGACATTGCATGACCCCCCCCTCCAGTCCTGTTACTAATTGTAGATTTGACAGTTATCTATCACATCACATGGAAGTTACAAGACATTAATTCCCAGTTTGGCAATAAAATATGAAACACAGAGAACAGTTATCTACATAGTATAAAGAATGTTGATTCTCTAGATTCAGAAATGAAATTAAGCCGAGATGACTTCATTTGAAAGAAAAAATTTGAGACACTAACTATTCCAAGCAACAAAAGCATTCATTTGGCACTCTGCTCAAATATAGGAGACGGTTTCTAGAACACGTAAAATCATCTACATATTGAGCTATTTTAGACAATCATGCCTACTCAGGGCATTTAAGACCAACAGTCTTCAAGTAGCCACAGAACATACCTGAACTTTTAGTTCATACACTTCTTTCTTGAGCTGATTTGGGCTTTTTATAACAGAAATGGCTCCAGTTGTGTTGCTGATTTCAAATGAACCTTCACTTCCTGCAATAAAACCAAGATGGTCTAGTTACGTATCACACTTACTTTTTCTGAACAAGCATGTGCAATTAACAATACACTTCGTTAAGCATATCTTGGTCCACATGTGCATCCATATCTGTGAGGATCTGAATCTGCTTTTCAAAAGTCAAGCATTTCTATGCCTGGTAGAGATGAAAACACAGATGAGCACCAAAAAGGGTTTTCTCCCCTAGGAAGGGCTCAGTGGAACTCTGCCCCTATGGGCAGCTGCACTCACTTTCGCCTGCTCAATCTGGTCAAGCTCCTTTCAAATCTCAGCAACCAGGAATGCAAATTTGGTATTAATTTCTATTATGGTGTCTTCTTTCCATGCTGGTTTAGACAAAAATAGACATTACTCATTTTAATTAGCAAATGCATAATTAAGTCTCTGAGAAACAAGAATGTTTCTCTCACTAATATCAGCTAAGGTGCGAAGTCACACAATCTGTCTGAAAGTCACTCTTTCTGCAGACAGGATCTCTGGGGAAGCATCTTCTGGCCTTAGACACTGAGTTGTGAAAAACTTTCAGCTTCTTGCAATGCTGTCTTGGGCAAAAAGGGATTTTGGAGGATCTGGGGTAAAGTCCAGGCTTTTCACATTGAAGCAGAGTCTGACACAGGCAGGGGCAGGACTACAGGCTGACTTTGCCACCTCTCACCTGACTTCCATTGATCCGAATGGAAGATCGGTTACAGGGCTGCAACCCCTTGAGATGTGGTGAATTTGTGCAGAAGCAAATCCCAGTTTGCAGAGAGACAGTGGCATCTCATCATGATGTCTGTACCCATCTTGCCACCAGGGCCAAGAGCAGGCTTGTCCCCAGGGAGGGGAGCAGTCAGCAGCTCTGGGGGCCCTGTGCTGCTCTGCTGGGGGGCTGCGGGCACCTCTGCATATGCCACCTCACGTAGGATATTGGCCACAGCCTACGCTTTGTGGCAGAGCCTTCCATTGAAAGGAAAAGAGAGGAAAAACCTTACAATAAAGGGAATCAAGCTTTCAGAAATAAAGGATGATGATCCGAAAGCCTCATCATTTTTCTTTTTCTCTAACTCAATTCCAAAACTGACTTTTAAACCGTCTGATAGTTTCCTGTTTTGCTAATACCTGCAATAATTGCAACTTCATTAAAGTACACTAGACACAACATTGAACAGGTATTGACTCTTACAATGGTCAATTATTAAGATACATTGGCCTGGAAAGTACATCCTGACTGAGAAGAAGCTTAAGTCAATACTAGTTTCAAGCCACCATACTTCATGTTATTGTTCGACACTATTTCATGAGAGTTTGTCTCAGCCTTATTAAACTCTATCATATCCAATTCTAATTTAAAGTCAGATCTAGCTTCGACCGCCCTTCAGATTTCATGTAGGACAGGTCTACTCACCGTTCACAATGCAGTAATGGATACTGTTAGGCTTTCCTCTGTCTCCATCAAGAGCAACAACAGTAAGGACCTCAGAGCCCTGCGGAGAAATGGGAAATCACTGCCTGTGAGCTGAGAGCAAACAGCAGTGAAATTGCAACTGTGTATTAATAAATTTAACTTCTGAAAGTCTTTCTGCAGTGAGGGGGGCTGGGAGGAGTAGATGCTTTTGCTTGTGCTGCTGTGTGGGGTAAACCAGCAAGTCATTGACTCCTGCTCAGAAAAAAAAAATCAGTGCTTGGCTTTGCAGAGTCGGAGCTGAATGCTTCTCCTCGTGCCCCACGGCCGCACAGTGAGCTGAGACACGGACAGCTGCTGACGAGTCATCAGGTCATTTTGGTCCTACTGGATTAAGTTCACACTGGCAGCAAAAGCAAACACAAAGCAACTTAGCCTATAGGACATTTAGGACATAAAATTTTGCTGAAAATCACAGTGATTTAACCAGCCTTAGACCTTCACTGTCTTTTTTTTGCACAAGTAACATGGCCGTGGGCCATACATATAGAATTTGTGTACCGGAGACCATTTGCTTGGGTGACTACTCCTATCAGTTCAGAGGGGTGATGACTGCCAGCATTAAAATGCTCATCCAAGTGGCAATGAGCTGTGTAATTTAGGCCCCTGAACTAAAGTGTTACTGTTGGGGGCTGCAAAACCAAGAAACACTGAAGTAACTGTCAGTTAATCACAGATGGCAACAAGGAACATTTTCATGACAATTCTTGAGTGAATTTTTCAATCAAGAGCAAGGTTCTGTTAGAGCAACTGGAAATATAGAACTGTATTTATTATCATTTATGTTGGAAGCTGCAATAAATTCTGCCTACTGGGCAAAACGCAGCACAGCCCCTCTGAAGGTGACAGAGTACTTGTAAATCCTGACAACTGCACCAAAGAGAAAAGAAGCAAGTTTACAAAATTAAAACCAAATGTGTAAACAACACTAAAATCAGCTAGTGCCTCTCTCTCTGTGGAGTTCATTCTAATAGCAAAACCCACACTGGGAAGGACCGATTCGTGTTTCCATCATTATAATATCATAATGGTGTAAGTTATGAGCTCAAGGTGGATGTAATTAACATTTATTGACTCCCATTTCCATAGTAAACACTAACTCCTGCATGCACCTGATAATTATTTCAAGATCTATACATAACTATGCAGAATAAATCAATATCGTTCATTCTAAACATCTGCAAATTACACAAGCATTACTTCTCTGCCGTGCTGAAATGTAAAAGCCTATGCACTGAACTGTGACACACAGTCATGCAAGGACTACAGTGTATGCTGGCGTTCTTGACAGAGAGTAAAGACACGATCTTTCCTGAAACTCAAGGAAAGATCAGGTGAACAGTGTGCAACCACACTGCCAAAGAGATCAATAGTCTAATGTACAGTAATTTCGTGAGTAGACACAATTTCTCATCCTATGTATAAATAAAATTTTAATTAAATCTTATATATCAGGGTGAAAGCAGATCCATACAAAATATCATGCCACTGAGAGTATTAGTTTGCAGCTTCAGGAATAACATGTGGCTGAAAGCATCATGGTGGATAAACTGATTTTCTAAAATGTATACTCCCTTTTAAACAAATCTGCCAGGCATTTCTAAGGCGATGGTACAGCCAGGAGCTCAGTGTACTCCTTGAATTCTGTGTCTGTGCTAGATACAAGCTGCTGTCTTCAGCAGCAGATACACACTGACAGCTGCAGTGTCCCCCCTTGCGTGTGGCAAGTCCATGCTCGCCTGATAATCCGGTGGGTTTTAGGCCAGTGAAGACTTCCTGGCCCATTCAGCCACCACCGATCAGAAAGCATCCTGCATTTTGAGGATGTCAGGACTCCTTCTCCCCAGGTGATGACCATGGGACAGCACAAAGAGTCTAGAACATTCAAGCATAAATTCTCCTCACATCTTGCACAACCAGCTGTTGATACCAGACTGATCAGAGACCACACAGTACACAACCACACAAAGGCTCCCGGCATGATGTGTTCTGGCGAGGTAACTGGCAACCTGCCTAAGCCTTCAGCCAAGTGCCTCTGCAAGTTCAGCCACAGAAGAGCCCTTAGTCACAGTATGGACTTAAGACCAACACAAATGGGCGGAATCCCTTTCAACTTTGATGACAGCAACAGGAAGACTTGCATGGCAAATTTTCAATGGATGTAAGTAAGAGCAAGTCTGAGATTTGGTCAACTCATTTCACCTAGGAGAAAAATCAGAGTTTAGGGCCCAGTTTCCAATAAAGCCTGTGCTAGAAACCACAGGGCCATCTCGACTGAGATGTGAACGGTTGCGTTTGCTCTCCTACAGGAGAAAACCAGCACTTACTGCAAGCGTGTCCTCATAGACATATCCATAGTAGGGAGTCCCAATGAACATCGGAGGAGTGTCCTGAACATCTTCCACGTTAACAGTAACTGTTGTTGTGGCTGAGAATACTTTGTTGTCTCCCCTGAGCTTCCCACCACCATCCTAGAAGAGAAGCCATCATTAGATCCCTCTGCTGAAACATGTCTGCAAATCAGCTTATGGCATTGCCTGAGCCTTCAGAAGCACAGTCTGAGGCACTCCTTCTCTCTCTCAACACATAGATTAATCTCTGCTGCCCTATTTCTTCGTCTTTTCTCTTTGTCCAGCTCCCTCTCTGATTAGGATGAGTTTGCGCTGTCTTAGAAGTAATTTTTTAATATTAAAAGTGGTTGCGCCTATACGCGCAGTCATACATAATCTCTACCATAACGCTGCTGCCTCCTTTGAGAACGCACGTAGAATTAGTCTCGAGGAGAAAAGACAACGCAGAAAGAACTGTGCCTCACCAATACCGCCTAAGGAGACTTTCCACTGTTCCTTTGCAGCCGGACTTGCCTATCCCACATCGGCCTTTTTAGCCATCAGCGTGCTTGTAGCAAGTGTGGGTAGAGCCCTTCCTGTATCTTCGTTCGCGAAGCCCAGTCATGATGACATAATCTCTTATCAACAACACAGGGGACAAGGAATTCAAGATTTTTTTGTGGGGAAAAGAGAATGCTAGAAATGGATGAAAAACATTAGTGACTAAGATCTACAGCTTTTCATCCCTAATATAGTCTTGTCATAAACACAAGACAAAGTACAGCAGCAATGTACAGTAGTGCATTTCTAGAGTGAAATTAAACAGTGCACATGATCAAAGTCTCCCAGGGACTCTTACATGATAAAGTGTAAGCACAGTGCAGCCAAGAGCTGTTAGATAGCCACAGCATATAAACAGTCTCTGGGGACTTGACTACAGTCAACTCTATGCTACTGGTACAGCAGAGCCAATTAGAAAGACGACTCGCAATTTCAGAATCTTTTAACACCCTCAGTCTCAGAGCACCAGCTGGAGGACAGTAGTCATGCTAGTGTATAAGAGTGTGAATTGTTCAGCATGTCTGTTGTAGCAGTTCTAAAAATTTCACTTGTTTTGAAATGCTGATTTTTTTTCCTCCTTGCTGACCTCAAGGCAGCATATAAGCCAAATGTTGCTACATGTCAAATGAACCCTGCCTAAATAAATACATTAAAAGATCCCTACATTTTTCATAAAACGTAAGAAACTCAAAGCCCCCAAAAGTAACAGCAAAATCATCCTCTTTCCACTCATGCAAGTCTGACTGTGTGACAGGTTCCCACAAGATCTTGAGAGACTTTACTTTAAAAACCATAAACTTTTAATGCCTGTTATGAATCCTCAGCCATGCCACAGGCACAACACTGATGACAGTGATAGTGGCAAGAAGGGATGTGCAGCAATATTCACAGGATTTGAATAAGCTCCTGCCCAAGGCAGCAGAGAAGTGAAAGAAAGAAACGTCTACAGATATTTCCAGAAAAGAAGTCTGCCACTTGTGCTGCACTGGGTCCGGCGGTTATGCCCAGTGTTATGCTTCTGGTTTCAACAACCTTTTAAGTCACACTTGTATTTGAACTAATCAGTTCTACTCAAATACAACCCCACCACCTCCTCTAGTTTCTGATAAAAGTTTTATACCTTGGCTACAACAACAACAAAATGTGTTCTTGATTTCTCATAGTCCAGGGTGATCCCTGTTTTGATGCGCAGGACACCACTGTGACGGTCTATTGTAAACTTATTAGCGTGGATGTTCTAGAAAAAAAAGAAGAAGAATAATCAGTGAGAGATTACAGGTATGGAAATAAGATTGCCATAGGGATTCATCTTTTATTTCATCTGCTAAGGGAAAAGACTAGAATAATGATATGGGTTGGGTGAATAATGTATTTGATGAGTTTCACCTCCATGTGTTTATGAACAATTCATGAACCAACCACTACTCTTTCATTATTCAGAATAAATTAGTTACCTGCAATGTAGATTTTTTTAATCTTTAAGTATTTCATTGAGAAATGTTAAACTTGGTTTAACACAGTTCACTGCATGGAAAGATGAAGGGAGGCTTAACAGAAAAGATGAGGAGGAAAAGGAAGAAGATAAAAGGTGTTATGCCTTAGTATTTCAAAGTTCTACTGGCTTAAAAAAACCCCAACATTAAGTTTGCATGTATAGATTACTGTCAATGGAGTGCTGGTTTGGTGTTTTTTGCCATATACAAATAAAACCTAAAAGACATCTGATTTCCAGAAAGGCACATTGCTGGCTTGTGTTCAATTTTTCACCAACGAACACACCCAAGTCCTTCTCTGCAGGGCTGCTCTCAATCTACTTGTCACCTAGCCTGTATTTGTGCTTGGGATTGTGCCAGCCCATGTGCAGGACCTTGTACTTGGCCTTGTTGAACCTCATGAGGTTTGCACAGGTCCACATCTCAAGCCTGTCCAAATTCTTCTGGATGGTATCTCTGCCCTCCAGTGTGTTGACCACAGCACACAGCTTGTTGTCATCGGCAAACTTCTGAGGGTGCTCTCAATCCACTGTCCACGTTGCCAGCAAAGATGTCAAACAGCACTGGTCCCAGTATCAACCTCTAAGGAACTCATCACTGGTTTCCACTTGGATATTGAGCTGTTCACAACTCTTTGAGTGTGACCATCCAGCCAATTACCCACTGAGTGGTCCATCTGTCAAATCCATGTCTCTCCAATTTAGGGACAGTGTCAAATGTTTTGCATGAGTCCAGGTAGATGATGGCAGTTGCTCTTCCCTTCCCAATTGTTTTCATATTTGTATCCAAAAGAAAACACTGCAACAAATTGGCTTTGTTTTGGTTTGTTTGTTTTCCTGTTGCCTCTTGAATAAGGGGAACTGCAGCTAATCTGGACAAAGCTGCTTGTAGGAATAAGGAACTTTAAGTTGCCCTTTTGGCATGCATAAGGTCTGCAATAGAAAGATTCAGTTTATTTAAAGCTGAATATTAAAGCTGAAGGCCTTTCTGTTTTTCACTAGTGGTGGTTTTTCACTAGGGTGGTTTCAAGCAGGCATAGCTTTGTCAGTTAGAAGATTTGGTATCTCATTTTTCACACTGTAATCCGCATGGCAACTATGCATCAGGCTGCTACACCAGCATATTTGAGATTCCAGTGCATTTCGCTTTCTAAAGAAAGGTACTTCATGCTTTAGAAATCTCGTATGCATACAGGATCACAAGGTAGACTTGCTCTCCCTGTCAGTCTAAAGAAAGGACCTGTAAGAGCCCTGTCCTGAGGAGTCCAGCTGGCAAGCATAGGAGTGACAGTGGCAACTCCAGCTCCTCCTTCTGCCTGCTGGATGACACTTGGCTGCTTGCAACCAGACAATATTCATTTTGTCAATGCTTGTTTTCTTGTGTAGGGTACCTTACCTGCAAGAAGTAGGTGATACTTCCTCCAGAACCTGTGTCTTTGTCCACTGCCTCAATCTTAAAGATACTGCTGCCGGAGGGAGCATTCTGTGACCAGAAAAATTGCCAGAGTCACACAGAAGTGGAAAACCAGGTGAGTTAGAAGAAATGAAAAATGAGCATGCAAGGGGATAGAAAAAGAGAGCAATAGTAGAAAGAGTATGAATGCTTTGAGGGAACCAAAGAGTAGAAGGAAAAGAAGGAACAGGTTAAAAATGGAGAAAATGGGAGAAGAACTAAAGAATGAAGAAATACTTTTTGGAATAAAAATGACAGAAAATCCTCAGCTAAGACAGAGTGCATCCTATCCACACTGAAATAAATTCTAAAAATTCACAGTGACTTGCATTTTGGAGCTTATCCACAAAATAGCACACCTTAAGTACCTGCAGACTTATTCTCTAAGCTTGCAGTGAATATTAAATACCCAAATAGAAAAGAATGCAAGTTAGTCCTCCACATCTTGCTATTTTACTGAAAACATACTAACTTCTTTTTACATCCAATTGAAATATACTTCCAGTATGCAAAGAAACTTCACCAACCTCCGGAACTTGGACTATGTAAGGTGTATTGATGAACTCTGGGCTCTCGTCATTAGCATCCGTCACAAGGATCCTGACTTTTTCAGAAACCTGGAGTAGAATATGAAGAACATGTTACGACCCAAGCTGATTTTCAACATGTACCTGTTCATTTGCCTACTAAGGTATATTTGATGGCAATGAAAGATTTTTTTTTGTAATAGAATATCTTTGCATTACCAAAACTGAGCACAGAAAAGAAAATACAGAAAATCCCATGATTTGAAAGAATTTTCTTTGTGGACAGCACCCAGATATCTCCAAATTAAATAAGGATTCTCAGAGTACTTTATAAATTACAGGTTGGAGCTGGTTTTCAAAAGTCTTTCTTCTTCTTTATGGCATTCAAGATACCATGATATATATTATGAGAATATGTAAACTTGATACCTGACAGGCAAGAGCATTCATTAATGCCTCATTTGGTATCATGACACTAGGTTAAATAGCATGGAGAATTTGGACATATGAATACATGCACCTAATAAATCCCTGGTATATTATCCCTGTGGAATAAAAGGTATGTTCTTTCTAAAAATACAGAAGAAAACATATTTGACAAAACTTCCCAGTTATTTGCAAGTGGACATATGGATGCAATCCCACTATTTCTTACTTACAGAAGTTGCCAGGGCAGTCGTGACTGTAGGATGCTGGCACCTCCCAAACATTTGTTGTAGTAATCTCAATTAATTTGTTTGAGATGAGGAAGAGTTCTAGCGTTATCTGATCTTGTCGGTAGTAAGATGGTCCCACTTCTGAAGCACCTCTAGTGATGAAGCCCAGGTCCTCTTATTGGCAGACTAATATCCTGCCTTTGACAGCATCTGAATCTAAACTGAAAATGCCGTGGGAATTTGTAGAAGTGGGACTCGATGCTTGTGCAACGCCTGAAGTGAGTCCTTAATAATTGGATGTGACTAAAGTTTTATTCAGCAGCAGACAAGAAATTCCCCATCACCTTAGCCTAAGCATATGTTCTTAACATTATGCTACAGAAACACTGTGGGGGTGGAGGGACAGTCAGCTCCTGAGTGTCCAATATTTATTCCTATAACGTCATGCATTTCTTCAAAACATCTCCAGATCTTTCTTAGGTGTGTATCCTAATGAGCTGAGAGTGAAACTTCATGGCAAGTTGTTGTAATTCTGTAGGCTGCTAAGTCAGTCTCTCAGCTCACACTGCTTCGTAACTATCCTCAAACAGCTGAGAAGGGAGCTGGGGTGAGACTTGAGTTACTGGAAGTTCAGTGGCTCTTGAAACAGGAGGTAAGACTCTAATGAGATTATGTTTTCTGATAAAATGAGGCAGTCCTTGTAAGGTAATTTAATAGGAAAAGGTACGTTTGACAAGCCACAGCATAATGAAACACTTACTGTACTCAGGCCATCTGAAATACTGACAATAACTTCAATCTCATCTTCCTTCTGTAAATCAAGAAAATTCCTTTGTTAGGGGATGTTGTTTGCCCTTATTGGAAAACGGACCTCAGATTTAAACGTGGCTCATCCAGTAGATGGAAGTAACAACTAATCTCATAAAGCAATCGCAGCAGAGGCTAGAAAGACCCTTGGAGGCTCCAGCTGCTCAGCTCCTTGGCCTTTCTGTGGCTGTTGTCAAAAGAAGGTTGGTCTAGGAATCCCTGTTGCTAAAGGGACATGAGGTAGAGAGAAAAGTGTCCTGGAACTTTGTCCTAGTGACAGGAGAGCCCCCCGTCTGAGGATTAGAGGATAGTAACTGCCCCATAGCTCGTGGGTGGGAAGAAGACAGCAATAAAGAGTAAACTTCTCTTTTGGCAAGAACATTTGATAGCAGTCAGTGACAAAAGTCAACTGGAAAAGCACATGATGGCTGAAGTATAATGCCTCAGAACTGCAAACTATATTACATGTTTTGGGGAGAATAAGTTGGCATTATCCATCAAACCCGCAGATCAAGTTAAACTGAAGGAAATTCCACATACACATGGAGTGGTGCCATTTCACGGTACCTCTCTGTCGAGCTCCTCAATCAGCGTAACGTTTCCAAAGTTCTCATCAACAGAAAAGTAGCGTCTTGATCCAGCTTCATAGGCCAAGCCATATGTCACGGGATCTCCTTCTGGATCGGTTCCATTCAGAGTGTACACATGGGTACCTGAAAAAATTGGCATTCAACAGCATTTGCCCGAAGCTACTTCAGTCAGTGAGTATTTCACTGGTCTGTTCCTTAGGAACATAGTTACCCTGCAGCTGGCAAAGCTTTTGTGAATCACACCCACTTATTGGAAAATACAGGTAAGTAGACAGTTCAATAACACTGATTCCCACTTTTCAGCTTGTTGGTTAACCAGAGTTAGTCACTGCCAGTTTCTTGCACTTCAGGCCCTTTTCTGTGGAACCCTACCTAGATCAATACTGTTCACATCATAACATTTACATAGATGACAAGCTCTTGACTGACTCTCAGCCTGGGTGAGTCAGAAGAGACACTGTTGTACGACTGGGTGACAATCTCAGCAGTACCAAAAGGCGCTCACTCACCTCTGGTCTGTGGGATCAATGAAACTGCAAACTAGCAGGCAGAGGATCAGGCAAATGAAGGCAGCACTCCCACGGGACTGGACCCAGGCTCTGAAGCTCGGGAGATGCAAGGACATTTGCAGACTTTTCCACACTGAGAACTAGTAGGTGCAAAAGTCTTCTTTCCTACTTCACTCCTCCTCATTAACTCCCTCTCATTAAATTCTTTACCTGACACACTCACTCATGCTCCTACCAATGAATAAATTCTCCAAACTCATCAATGTATTTCATTCACAAGGTGGGGAAAGAGAGATTGTTACTCCTATTTTTAAACAGCTGAGAAGTTGGTGTCAGTTTTTTCAGTGAACTGTGTTAGTCAGAAGCGATACTTCCCAGGGGAGTTATAACACCCATGTTTTGAAAATATGGCAAGGGTTTATTAACATTACTTTAAAAAACCCCCTTACATATCTGTCATACTACTGTGCATTAATACATTCATCCAAATAATTTCAAACACTTTACAAATATCGGTTAACTGAGCCTGAAATATAAAATGCTGTTGTTTCCTTTCAATTTGCCATGCTTTGGGTAAATTACCTGAGATACTCAAGTGGCAGAGGTTTGGAACAAAACTCTGCTTTACATCTAACAAAGTTCTTTGCGCTGGAAATACTGTAGCCAAGCAACTCACTGGTTAGTAGTGAGTTTTCCTTGTGCTTAGGACACAAGGATATGATGAATGGATCTCTGCTAAGAAAGTTAACATAGAATCATAGAATCACAGAATGGCATAGGCTGGAAGGGACCTTAGAGATCATCTAGTCCAACCTCCCTGTCATGAGCAGGGATGCCTCTCAATTAGATCATGATACTCAAGGCTCCATCCAAAGTCAAGGGAACTCAGAAGATTTGTTTCAAACTAGCCTGATTTTGAGAGATTTTTAATTCTGTGCTCTGAAGTCATAATCTTTTTCTTATCTCCTCTCTGCAGTTGATGTTGATATATTATAGGTTAGAAACTAACTCTTCCAGACTTAATGAAACAATAAGCCTTTCTCTAATAAGCAAGAGATGTTTGCCAAAAGTAGCAGTCTAACACGACAAATCAGTAGTAGAGGCAATTCTGGCAGAGAGAGATCACGACCACCAACTCATGGGCCACCTACCCCAATATAGCACTGACCCAAAAGATGAAGGTGGAGAAGATCAATCAGGCATGTGTATTAACTTACATGTTAGGCGAGGGAACTTTAACCAACCATTTAATAGAATAACAATGCTTATGTATTAGGAAGTTGAATATGTTAATGCTTTGTGTACAAATAATTGTTAACTCGAGATCTTGATGTGCTGTCTTGGGACACGCACTCATACATATGCATCTAATAAAAGTAAATATCTCAGCTCTGTGGATGGATTGGTGAGTGACAAACCCCAGTTTTTGGGACAACACAGCATCAGTGGAGTTTTTCTCTGATTTGATCCAAAAAGCTTCTGTTTAACCCCAGAACTTTGGTTGAGGACCCACCCACAGCACTGGCAGGTCAGCTTCTCAAATATTTCCTCAGTTTTGCAATCCAAGCTTTTGCTCCCTATTTGCGTATTCCTTAACATGCAAAATGTGAGGCAATCAGATTGGTGTGCTTAATGGATTTGTTAATGCCTAGGCATCAGCGGTGATATTTAGGAAACATGGCTGTCTTCTTTGCATAGCAAGAGATTATGCCAAGCCATGTGGGATCTGTGCTTACTTATGAGTCAACTCCCTTATGGCAATTACCAGGGCAATATTTGGGCAACTTTGTACAGAAAAATATTCACGTTGCAAAAACCAGTGGGCCCATAGGAGCACAAACAACAGACCCTGCTACGAGCTAGCTCAGCCAGACAACAAATAGTCAATATTTGCAAAACAGGCTCACAAAACGACAAAACACTTTCCAATAAAACAGTAGAGAATAACAGCACATCTTTATGATTTCTCTGATCCTAAGGACTGAACAAGGAAATTCAAGGAGAGCAATAAACTGAGGCTGGTATCAAATAGTGTCCTGAAAGGATACCTGCATCCTGATACGGCTGTTCTACATAAGAGGCAGAAATTTCAAGACTGCTGAAGGTTCTGCAGCACCAGTACTGACTGCTTTTATTCTTGCTTTTCAAAAGCTTTGTCTTAAGATCACAGCTGGGGCCAAATGCAGAATTCAGGTGTCAATTGTTAGCACTTCACTGGCATTATTATCAGTAAAGTGTTTTCCTTCAGACTTGTTCACTCATTGGAAGATTTTACTTCTTATCTTATCTGCTTTTTCTGTCCACCTTCTTCACTTCTTCTATTCCTTCCCCTTTCTGTACTACTGGATGTCCTGTCTGTTTCTAGTTCGTACAGATGTCTGCAGCAGCTGCTGAGGGGGGATTCTCCCCCTTCACTCTGCTCTTGTGAGACCTCACCTCAAATACTGTGTCCAGTTCTGGTGTCCTCAGCATAAGATGGACATAAATCTGCTGGAATGAGTTCCGAGGAGGGCCACAAAGACGATCCAGGGGCCGGAGTACCTCTGCTATGAGGATAGGCTGAAGCAGCTGGAGTCGTTCAGCCTGGAGAAGACTCCAAGGAAACCTAATAGCTGCCTTCCAATACTTGAAGAGAACCTACAGAAAAGCTGGAGAGGGGCTTTTTACAAGAGTTTCCAGTGAGAGGACAAGGGAAAATGGATTTAAATTGAAGGAGAATAGATTTAGACTGGAACTTAGGAAGAAATTCTTCAGTACAAGGGTGGCAAGACTCTGGAACAGATTGCCCAGAGAGGTTGTGGATGCCCCCTCCCTGGAGATGTTCAAGGCCAGGTTGGATTAGGCCTTGAGCAACCTGGTCTAGTTAAGGGCATCCCTGCCCATGGCAGGGAGGTTGGATTAGATGATCTCTAAGGTCCCTTCCAGTGTAAGGCTTTCTATGATTCTATGAAAATACAGAATGGGCAACACAACCCACGCCAGGGGTCTCTTGGAACCTGTGGAAAACAGCCAGGGACAAGGTCTAGTGCTGTGACTGGAGCTGCCCTGAACTACCAAAGCTGGTGGTACATGAACTGTGAATTCTCCTCAGGGCTTGCAGGGTATGTGCTAGAGAGGAATAGACCGTGCAAGTTTAGTGTAATGTATCTGAACCTGGGTTTGTTCTTCCAATCTCACAGTTTTCTCTCCTACATTTTCTAGGAACTTCCTTATGTGGAAAACAGGAATTTTCTTGCTGGTAAATGTGAGAAGAAACGTTAGTATTGGAGAGACTGAGATGACTGATGTTTCTGAGCAAGTAATGAAGGACATCACTGATCTTTGCATTGGACTGTTTTCTTCCTAGCTAAAGCTGTTCCTTCTTCATAATAGAGGACACTTGTGTGCCTTTTAAATTGGATTGTGGATCTTCTGGTTCATTATAATTCCTAATTTTGTCTGAATTGCAATTTCACTGCACAATACTCTCCATATCGTTAACACCCTGGGAACACTTGTCAGCACAGTGTTAATGCCAATTAAAAATCTCCTATCAGTGCGCTGCCTCCATTCATTGGAAAAGAAATAAATTAAAAATAAGAGCTGCAATCTTATCAGTAAGACCAAGTAAATAGCCTCTCCCTGTCAGAAAGGGGATGAGATGAGTCTTTACCTGGGGATATGGCAAATGCCATATAAGGGCCCTGGTCGGGAGCGCTGGATGCTGAGTACGCAGGGGATGGTGCAGCAGGCTGGGATGGGGAAGTCCCGGGGAGCCACTCACTGCTTCCTGCTATGGCTGCTTCTCAGGAACCACAATAGGCTTTCACAGCGTTTTCCTATTCCACCTTAAAAGTCATTTGCTCTTTGCTTCTGTCACTCAAGCTGAATGGTTGTCCTGCAATAGTATTGCTCCATTTTACTTAATCGCTGACCTAAATTTATTCACGGCCAAACTCTGATCATGTGCTCTGGGGCTGGTTTTGCCCTTTCACTGAAGACAGGCACTGCCTCTCTGTTGTGTGACACTCCGAAATCAAATCCCCTCCCTGCCAAGTTAAACAAGCCAAGCACATTTTGGGCTCATGCTCAGACTGCTAGTTGTCTTTTGCCACCACAGCTGACATCTGTTAACAAGATGCTAGGAAGGACATCCATGGCTGTGCTCCCAGGACAGGACACCTCTGTTCCCAATGTTACAGCAAATGCCATCTCGCCTGGGGCTACACGCTTACTCTCCACCTGTCTCAGCCAAAGGCCCATTTCCCCACCAGAAAAGGGGATGGATAGTTAACACAAAGGCTCCTGGAGGACCTGGACCACACCCCAAGACTACCTCAAAAACAGGTCCTTCCCCTTCACTACCAGCCACTCCCTCCTTCCTGAACACACCTAGGTGACTCCTGCTCATGCCCTGCACACCGTGATGGTGCTGGCCAAGCAGAGACAAGGACAGGATCAGCAGCCCAAAAGCCATGGCTGCTACAGCAGCAGCCAAAACAAGCTCCAGAGCTGCGAGATTCAAGGAGAGAGAAGGAATGGCAGCAAGAGTTCAGCGTGGGGCTAAAACACCACCCCAAGGACAGAAGCAACATCCTTGCGGCACCCACAGCAATCAAAGCCAAGGAGAAGCCACCTGAGAGCAATTCTCTAATGTATCTGCAGTTCCTGTCAGAAGGATAAAAACAAAAGCAAAGGCTGTGAGTCCCATGAGTGCTCAGTGCACCCCTGCACAGGGCTCTGCTTTGCGGGGAGGGGAAGTCCTTTCTGGGCAGTGTTAGCTCTGCTGCAGCAATGCAGAAGGCAGGCTGCATCTAACAGTTTTGTTCTGGCAGCTCCTAGCTTTCCCAGGTGGGAGATTTTAATTTCTGTGAAAAGCTGAATATTTTTACACCTTCAAAAATTTAGCCTTTCTGAAGCCATTTGAATGGGAGGTCTTGGTGGGTCTCTAGACTTCAAGACGCAGTGGCTTAGGCTAAATTGTCCGTGTCTGCGTCCTTTCTGGTCAGAAAGGAATTGTAATTTTAAAAGGGAGCATGTTCCCTCACTCGGATATTTCTCTGTGACAAGGAGGGCTGGAAATAAATTGTGGGCAGAAAAAATTCCTTGCAGGTTCAGCTACTATGTCTGTGATGGATGAAATACAGACACAAGTACTGAGAGGTGGCAGAGTGCGAGGGTGGGATCAGTGAGCACTGAAGGAAGGACCAGGAAATACATTAACCAGGATTCTCACCAGTTTGGGGAGCCTTGGTTAGATCAGGGTGTTAGAGATGTAGAAGGAACAATGGGGGCAGGAAGCGACAAGAGGGATCTCCACAGCCGGCTGTGAAGGATGGAAAGAAATGAGACCAGGAGAGCGTAGAACAGGGGGAGCCTGAAGGATGGAGGGACCCGGAGTGGTCAGCCAGCCAGCGGTAGGTTGCTGGCAGCTGTAGCTTTGATCAAAGAACTGCCCCTGCAGATTGGTTGGGAGAGCATCCCTGGGGTCCTGGGGAAAAACTGAAAGGAAAAATGCAAGGATGAGAGGCCTGCAAAGATCTTCAGAGCACCAATAGTGCTTGGGTTGGAGAAAGCCACGAGCTTAGGCTTCTGAGTATGCTTCAATCCCTCGCTCTGCAGCTGTTCTCAGCCCTACTCTGTCCCCACTGTGATGGCTTACAGGGATTAACGAGTTAAGATGAAACAAACAACCTGAAATAGCATCCCACGCGTGCCTTAAGACCTTGATTAGGAGCACATGTACATTTTGTATGTACACAGGCAACTCTTTTGCAAAGAGCTAATTACCCACCTGCCCTGCCAAACAGCCACACAAACTGCAACTGCTATTTCAGTTCATAATTTTTCCCATTCTTCTTAAATCTGGCACTGGAAGGGGCTGCTGTTCCGGCCCTTCCTACCTCAAGGGGTCCCATGTTCTGCAGCAATAAATGGCATTGGGGAATCTGCAGGCATATTCAGGCTTTCAGAAAATAATAGTATTTGCTGGTTTTATAACTTATGTCACCATATATGTGATTTGGTAGATCACAACTATCTGTAAGTAGGCAAAATTATACAAGGGAAAATAAGGTCACATTAAGGCTAGTATGAGCATGACAGTGTGATTTTCTTGAATTTGAGGCATTCATGCAGCTGCAGCACTATGATTTCTCTTTCTACAGTCATTTAGAGAATTCATCATCTCCTTTTGGTGCTCCAGAATGTTGCATGTCCCTTGTCTACAGATGCCTGCTAATATAACTGACACATACCACCTTGCCAGCTGCTTGTAATCTCAGTGGGGCCAAAGACTGTAAAATTCTGGGAGGTTTATTACAGCTGCTGTCCATGGCATTGCTCAGATCAGACACTGGCTGCTGCCAAGAAAAGCATCCTGCCTATGACTCCACGTTTTATGGAAGCACAGGGAAACTCTAATGGCAAACTGCCCGTTTTTGCAGCACCTAAGCCTGAGTGAAGCCATCCAGAATCAAACATATGGAAGTTTTAATTCCCCTGTTCTGTCACCGATCATCCTGCTCAAACTGAAAGACAGATGCTTCAGTGCTTGGGACAGCACACAGACACAGGAGACCAGATTTCTTCTCCTTCTTCTGGAGGAGAATGGGGCAGAGGAATGAGGAGTAACAGCTTCCTCTGCAGTGTGAGACAGGTCACAGAAAAGGGCCAGAAATATTTAGCGGTGTGTGAGCCGTCACTGAGTCCTGGCATGAAGCTCTGGTGTGAACACTGGTCCTCTCGCCCTGTGCAGAGCTGAACATACATCACACCCAAGCGCTGCTGTCACTGGTGCTCTCCCCTGGAAGCCTCCCTGCCAAAGCACCCCCGAGGGGTGACTGTGCTGGCGTGGGTGGCAGCAGCAGCAGTTTGCATTGAGCAAAGCCCAAGTAGCCATTTCCCAAGGGAAATTCCTAAAGTGCTTTCAGAAAAGAGGACTCTACAGTGCTCACAGCTGTTAGTCAAGGCATTCTGGGAATTAGCCCTGAGAAGTACCCGTAACTGTGTGACAAAGCTACAAAGCTTTGGACTTCTCAAAAGGAAGGTCTTATCTCCCTTTCCCAAGGGATTTTCTAGGTCCTTTGCAAAAGCCTCACATCAACGCTTCACTTGGAAAATGCTTTTGGTGGCACCTTTGGAGCTTTAAGACAGAAGTTTCTCCCCTTTCTTTTAAAGCACATTTATATAGCAAATTAGAAGTACAAGCCAGCTTATGTGAACACATGTAAACGCATTCTGGGTGAAGCCAGTAGCCATGAAGCACAGCAGCACTGAAGGTGGATCGGCTTGAGCTTTACCACTGCTGCAGCCAAAGTGTAAACTCTCCAGGGACCTCTATGTGACTGGTTTAGTTGCTAATGCTACAAAAGCAAATACAAAAGCCCATCACATATTTGTTATTATTTTACTCAGGCTGGTTACAAGAATGCTGACACAGGCTCCGACCCCTCACGCTGCTGTTTTGCTGTCAAGTCATGCACGTTCTCCTTTGTTTGCCTGAAGCCTCAAATCAGACACACTAGGTCTCAGTGCTGGAAAATCACTGCTGCACTTTGCTGCCTCAGGGTGTGCTGTCATCCCAGAGACCGTGTGGTGCTGCGGTTCTGCCAGGAAGGGCATCTCTGACTGCGCTGTGGCTCTGTACCATCCTTAGCTCCCATCCCCACATTTCTGTGCCACCCTTAGCTCCCACCCCCACAGCTCGGTGCCATCCTTAGCTCCCATCCCCACAGCTCGGTGCCAGCCTTAGCTCCCATCCCCACAGCTCTGTGCCACCCTTAGCTCTCCAACCCCACAGCTCTGTGCCACCCTTAGCTCCCATCCCCACATTTCTGTGCCACCCTTAGCTCCCATCCCCACAGCCCTGTGCCATCCGTAGCTCTCCATCCCCACGGCTCGGTGCCATCCTTAGCTCTCCATCCCCACAGCTCGGTGCCATCCTTAG